TGACCACATATAGCAAAGTATAACAGTTAAATTTCATTACGGATTCGGAGAAAACATTCCGAACAAATTTTGTCGCACAAATGTTGCCGATATATTTAAACAGCCGTCTGCCTCACTATATAGCTGCTCCAATTTGATTTAATTTTTTGATGGCTAAAAGGAAAATTAACTCTGAGAATATGGATGATCCATTTCTTGGGGTCATATTTTGATATGCTTCATTACATATATCTACGCGCTTCTATTTTATTCTATAATTTTGTTCACTTTATACGACATGATCAGATGCATAAAATTATCACAAAAATTATATATGAGAGATTAGCATAAATTTAAAAAGATCAACCGATGATATCATCAACAGTTTGCTAAGATAACTGAATGTTTAGTATCTCAAGAATAATTTTCCATTTTCAAATAATCGATTGAAAATTGATTAATCTAGAAATCCTTTACTATTTCATATCTACCTGTCACATTATCTTTTTCTTTTTCGTCTTTTTGAATTCCATTTGAAATATGTCAACCGTAATAGCAACGATATTGTCACTACTCATTACGGTATTTGGCGTCCACTGCTATAACCCCCACCACTCGATTGACTGCTATCCCTACCTAATTGGATAACGTTGTTCTTCCCTCAAAAGAAAAAAGGAATAATTCAAGCAGTATTTATTAAAAAAAATTATTCTCAAATATTTTGCAAAATTGCATTTCTACTTTTTTCGATGGACAAGATTCATTTAGCAAATGAATTAGACTAACTCATTATTACAGAATGATAACTAACACAAAAATAAGCTAATACTGTAAGTAAATTTTATTTTTTTCTGGTACCATTCTAATAATAGTATAGATAGCTTCATCTAGAAAGTGAATTGATATAATAACAAGCATTTTACTAATAAGGACGCAGAAGAGCGCTGACTTTTAATAAATCATCGCTGAAATGAGCGAAAAAAAAAGATCATCGTAGGACTAAAATAGTGAAGACCATAACTAACAGATACATGAAATGATAGAAATTAAATTCCTTTTTTTTTCAAAACAGTATTTCCACCAATGCAAGACCTTCCCGTCAATTTTTTCTGAATTCATTAATATAAATATTAATTAAACGAAATATTTATGCCGATCATAAACAAACAAACAAACACACACACATTGAGTATTTTAGCATTGATTTCTATGTACTGAAAGTTATCATCTCTTGCATAAATGCACAAATAAACATATATGATTTGCTGGAATTGAGCGAAAGAAGCAAAAGATTATAAGTTGCAACAGTGTTTTGTGCCGAAACATTCAAACGTCAAATTGACAGTTTAGAATGTTACAAAATAATGAAACTTCTTTACTTTCCGATGAGGAGGTGATGCAAGGATGCAACATGAATGGATGAAGAGAAAATGACCAATGTCCAGTCATCCTGAAAATAGTTTCACGGTTACTGCAAAAGAATTTTAAACGAATGCTTGTCAATAATAAATTCACTGAACTTTAGGTAAAATCTTAAAAAAAGTATTTGCGAATAATCAATCGGTTGTTTGCCTTTATCATTTCTTATTTTAATTATTAATATTGGTTTTTGTCACATTTTGGTGGTAATGAGAATGATAAGATAATCTTCCTGGTTCTAAAATCAATGTGATTACTAATCTTCTTTAAATCTTACCTTATGGGGATATATGTTAGACAGCGGAATATTTGAGAGAATTGCTATATCTATTGAGAGATAAAAAAAAAGCAAATGGCGAATGCTTTTTTTTCTTTGACTTTCCTTATCTGTCAGGATATATACATCTATGACTGCGAACCCCTAATCCATTGTAGATCTTAAATATATACGTATAATATTCGTTTTTTTGCGCAATTCTTTTTTTTGTCTCTTCTTTTATCAAAGATAAAACGTGAAAAGGAGGAGAACAAATTAATTATATCATCGTTCTAAGTAATTAGCAATTGTATAAAATGGATAAGCATAAATTTTTGTACCTTTAAACGATTAATAAATTTTGAGTATTTTACGTTTCCTTCCTTATCTAATCTATTCAATTTTGCTAATACAATAAGCATTAAGGACATGCCATATGTTTTTTTTATGTTTTTTGCTAATACAATAAGCATTAAGGATATGTTGGGAAAAAGAATGCTATTTCTTTTTTTGTCTTTTATCCATGCTTTCTTTTTTCTTCATGCTTTTTTTTAAAAAAAAAGAACGGTAAAAATTCAAAAAAGTTTTTTTTAATGCAGTTTTATTCATCGAACTTTCCTTCAAATTCTTTGCTCCATTTTATTTACCTTTTACTTTTATTGTTTGTCGTTTAATACTGCATATTATTCAAACAATGAATGACTAATTTGTTTGTCGGCACCCTTTGTTATAATTAAATTTTATTCAAAAAAAAAATTCTAGCTAAATTCGTCTAATAACTGATTATTGTTTGTATTTCATTAGATGCTAACTTATAATTGCCAATTTTTTACAGGTAATAATTTAAAAAGTAATAAATATTATTTTAGTAATGCAAGCAAAATATTTCGATTGTATTCGTACACAAATAAAAACTAATAGTGAATGTTTGTACAGAATAAAAAATTATTAATAAAGTATTTGTGATAAAAATAAATTAAAATTGGCTAAGTTCAACTTTACATATGCAAATATTTGAATGATTTCCGGTGCATTACTTATGATGCTCATGGCTTCCTCCATAATAACCATGATTTTCCTATGATAACTATGATTTCTCCTATGATACCATAATTTCCCCCCATGATATCCATGATTTCCCCTTTGATATCCGCGATTTCTACCATAGCAGCTATGATTTCCCCATGATACCTGCGATTTCCCCTATAATACCCATGATTTCCTTTGTGATACCGATCATTTTCCCCATGATATCCCAATATGGAACAGGAATATAATTAATAATTGCCCAAGTTAATGTGTTTTAAAATGATGATAAATTTTATTAATGTATATTTATTTATTATTGGATTTCTTTTTGTTTTTTTTTCTTCTCTCCCTTTCTCTCAAATATTTAAAATATATTCGAAATGATGGAATGGATGGAAGAGATGTCTTCGTTTTTTTCTCTTTTTTTTCATATTTCATCTATCACTCGTTTTATCGTTCATATATACACGTGAATGTAATCATTGAAATGAATGTTTGATAAATAAATAGAATCGTATGTAATAGAAATATGCATGAAGGTGTTATTTATAATTGACAATTTACAATTTGTCCATCCGTTATCACAGGATTGATCATTTGAGGCTGATTAATTGTGTAAACTTGATGATTGTTTACTTTAGTCCATGGTGCTGGTGATGCTTTACCGACAAAGAAGAAGAGACTATTGCAAACAATCATTGAAATAACAATCACATAGAAGATTTTTGACCTGAAAAAAAAAGAAAAATTAAAGAATGTATGTAATTTTATTTTTTGTATAAATTAAATTTTTTTAAAAAAAGAAAAAGAAAAAATTGTCAGCAATTTGAGCAATTAAATTTAATTAAAACGCGTATTAAATTAATTGCTGAAAATATTGATAATTTATCAATTGTTATTATTGATAATACTTTTAGTGTTAATGTAAAATTGATTAGCAAATGAAATTATTATTAAACATTATTTGATTGCTTTAGCAGTTTGAAAATATAAAATTATTGTCAATATTTTTTGATAATATTAGAATTAGTTGACAATATATGTTGTTCATCATTTGATGATATATATTGTTACGGTTAAAGTTATTAAAAATTTGTTTACATTTTCGAATCAATGCATAATTGTAATATAATTAATTCATCTTACCATTGTTCAGCGGTATTATCTGGTGCAATAAGTAATACAAACAATGGAATAATTAGAATTACTGAACAACTGATAATTGATAAGATTGATAGGACGAAATGTATATGTTGGCGAGCAACCTAAAATTAATATTATCTGTTCGATTGATCAATTAAAGTGTGAAATAATTTTCGATGAATCGAAATTTAGCCGTATAAAATTAAAAGCTAATTAATCATTTCCTTATTGCATAAGAAAATTAATAGATGTTGTACTAAAAAATTCTTTTCTTTTTATTTGACCAAAAATGAACAATTTTACAACAGCAAAAAGGTAAAGTGTGAAGTGAAAAACATTGTTAATTACCAATTGTGCACTTTTAATTACACCCACGCAATTTAATCCGCTAGATGCAATCGCTGCTGTGTATGCTATTTGACCTAAGTTAGCCTGATCCGCAGGTATTAATGCCAAGAATATAAAGCATGCTATCATAAAACCTGAAAACTTGAAAAATACGAAAAGATTAGGAAGAAAACATAATTGAATAGAAATAATTATTTAATGAAGAATTAACTGGTCAAATTATTCAGGTGATTAATTAATTAATTATTAATTTGGTAAATAGATAGTATAATTTATTGAAATTTAAATGAAGTATAAGTCAGTAGTTTATTACTTCATAAAACTGATGAAAGTAGAATATTGACTTATGAACTAATCAATTAATTACCGGGTAATGAACTGGTCAATTAATTATCGGAATATGAAGGATATAATTTATTGTGAAGTTTAAATGAAAAACTAATTCAATGAATGAACTGAAAGAATGAATAAATCAATAAATAACCTTGAGAAATAAAAGTAAATAACATTACTCGAGCTTTTTCACCGCAACAAATAGCATGATCACTTAATGGACCAGCAAGAACTTTAACAATAATTGATAGTATCATTGGTAATGCTGAAGCTAAACCAGCTTTTTCTACGGTAAAATTTAACACCTAAAATTAAAATTGATATATGTGGGAAAGAAAAAGGAGCAGAAAATTCATTTTTAATTTTAAATTCTGTAAATTATTGTATTAGCAGAAATTACTAAATAATGAACGAAATTGTTTGATTAATTGAAATTTAAAATTTAAAAATTTTTACCACATCTTTTATTTTTTGTTCGTGAAATCATATCATTTGTTTGATTATATAAAGAAAGAAAACAAAAAAAGGAAAGCGGAAAATATCGAAATAAACTTAAAAGATAATAAAAATTTATAACATTTATCATTATTAATAAATGGATGTTGTAAAACAAACTTCATTAAGATACACTGGTCCATATTGAAAAAATATTTGAAAACCTAAGGTACCACCAATACTTGCAATCCATACACCCCAAATGGAAATATCACGAATGATTGCACCATATGGTACTTTTGGCATCTTCTTCGCATATGTCACCTCTTTACCGAATTCAATTTTTGACAATTCCTTCGAACTAACATTTCTGCATTATGCAAAAGAGCTTTTTATTATTAATCAAATTAATCATATCATTTAATCATGAAAAGGTTGGAATTTGATATCAAATTGTTGTACGATTATAATTTGATATTAGATTCTTTTTAGATCTAACATGATGCTAGACCTTTAATAAATTCGAATTTAGTATCAGATTCCTGAAAGATTTTCAATTTGATATTAGGCTCTTGTAATATTCAGACTTCATATTATTTGTCTGATTATTATTGCATTATATATATATATATATATATATATAT